ATATACCCTACGAGACTGAATTTTACTTCCTAGTTTTTCGCCCGCCACCATGCGCGGCCTAGCGGCGGCCGGCGAACTACTCGCAGGCTGGTGCTCGCGCTCCCGCGCGCGTGTCGCGCGGTGCCGGATTTGCCAATATGTGCCGGATCGCGTATTGCGACCGCCACAGAAATTATCAATTTTTGGACAAATACCATTTAGAAATTTTATTCCTACAAAACCGCTGCGTTTTGACGAATCACCTTGATGCAATCATTTTGAAATTTCCTCCTATTGAGTGATGCAATTGTTGCACAATATTTGAGACATTTTCCTACCAGGGACGTAACTGTCTTGAACAATTTTGCTTCGAAATGTCGAAATAATTGTGCGTGATTTATCTCCTAAATTGAGATTTTTTGACAAATACCATTTAGAAATTTTATTCCTGCAAAACCGCTGCGTTTTGACGAATCACCTTGATGCAATCATTGTGAAATTTCCTCCTTTTGGGTGATGTAATTGTTACCCAGTATTTGAGACATTTTCCTATGGGGGCGAACACGTTGGTACGTACGCTGCACGGCATGTTTATACATTTTATAACGTATACTTTATTAATTGCAATTACATGAATGCATCTGCATTTTCTTGCCCCACATGCGAGTTACTTACACAAATGCTCCGCAAAAAAAAGAAAGAAAAGAACATACCGACGTTTTTCGCATATAGCCTCTCTCTCTGCGCGGCGTAATGTGTATATATATTTTTATATTTATTTTTGTTTTCATTTATTTATTTATATATATTTATATATTATGTATATGCGTGAGTCCATAAGAAATACTTAATCGCTACGACACATTCATAAACTACGTTGTCATGATCATGGTCGATGTCGCATTTAAGCACTGATCGATCGATTGTTTTTTTCTTTTGTTTCTTTCTCCTTTTTCTTCTTCTTCTTCTTTTCTTCTTCATGCGATGTGTAACACTAATCTAGATCACAGTCGTTTCCGCTTTGCAGTCGAGTAAAGAGATGGGATTGATGCTTCGATGAGTGAGAGTGAATGGGAGAACGGAAGAAAGAGAGAAAGAGAGAGAAAAAGAGTATGTGCGAGCGAGAAAGAAAGAATGAGACAGGCGGTGATTATCATTCATACGTCGTTACGATTAAGCAAGCGATAATTCCCGTTTTCCTTCTTCCCTTCGTTTTCTTCGCGGGCTCAGAAACTGGCGAGACGGTGGCGCGAAAATACGAGGTCGCGCGTCGCTTATTTACAATGAAACTCGTGCTACTTTCAATCCTTTCTTTTCCTTCCTCTCCCTACGAAAGAGGACGGAGCTAAAGAGGATTTCATCTCCGTTGGAACACTCGAGACGAAGAGGGGAAAAAACGGGATGGAAAGTTAAATCTTTTTTCCCCCATTTCTCTCCGTATCTCCTCCCGCGCGTTGCGATAATTCAAATCGAAATCAAATCCGTTCTCCAACTCCGTCCTCTCTTCTCCTTACAAGAGTTTCCCCTTTCGGCCGTTCTTCTCTTATACAATGACAATGCTACGATGAGGATGCTGCGTGTTACATGGGTATGTAAGTTATGCCATTATTTACAGAAAATGCGCACATTCACACCACGTTTACCTTCCGCTCTAGACTTTATTATGTGGGCGACAGACGATGAGAGCGAGTGATTTCTGTTCTCTTTTCTTCTCGTGAAAAACACATGACTGGATGACACCGATAGAATATGCCGATCGAATCGTGCCGATTATTGAGAAGGAAATAAAGTGTCGGGATATGTGTTGTTTTTTTCTGTATCTTGTTTTGCTTTTTTTTGTCGGAATTTTTATTAACGAGAGAACAACAGTTGAGTAAAAGTTAAATCGACTAGAACACTGGCTAGAGTAAAAAGACCATCTCTTCGGTTCAGTAAGTAAAGTCACAGTTTCAACGCAAAACTGAGAAGAGGTAGGTGGAAAGGGAAAAGAAGAGAAAGAAAGAGGGAAGAGAGAAAGACTAACAGAGAGAGAAAGGAAAAAGAGCGAGAAGGAACAAAAGGCAAGAGTGACTAGTGGAGAGAGCTGGCGACAGAAGTGTTCGTGTCGAGATTTAGTGAAGAGTCACTATTGACGGAGCAAAACAGAGACGGACAGATCGAGATAAAATCGATAGACAGATAAATAGGTAGATAGACAGACAGACAGACAGACAGATAGACAGAAAGAGAGATCGTTTCGTAAACTGTCCTAATCTAATTAATCGTAGAGTATAGGAGAATTACCAATAGTAAGAATAACCACGATAATCATAATAATTCTAACGTTAGCATCGATAAGTATAGTATAATAATTTAGCTTTTTTTTTTAAACTTTTGATAACATCCCTAATTCCCCGTGCTTCGTTTCCTTTTCTTTGCCTTCGTTTTCTCCCGCCTAACTTTTGCCACCGTTGAGCTTAAAAACGAGTCTCGCTCCTTGCTTTTACGCTCCCGTAAAATCTCGTCGTACTCGCGACGGCAAGTATCATATTACGATGTGTGTGTAAGGCCGCGTTTACTTAATCGATATCAATGTACATCGTCGCGACGATAAGTCGTGCATTTACATGACGCTTCGCTGGTCGCTGCGATGCTAGTGGCGAAACATTCAAGCAGCAGCTAATAACGCGCTCATCAGGCTTCTGAATCATCTTTGCTTTATCCCTTACATTCTATCTTTTCTCCGATCATGCGCAAAGTGTTGCAATACTCGATACCGTGTGTATTAACAATCGAGTTGAAATCAGTATTTCGATATCTCGACGAATTTTAGTCAAGTTTGTCGACGCGCGACGCGTCAAACAATACTTCGTCCAATCCGCGGATCGACGATGAAACGAAACTAAAGTCATCTATCCGTGTTGCTGAAAGTTATCTCGGCAACTCGTAACAATTAAGAATATATTAACGTGGATTCCCTTCACTTTACACCCGAAAAAATTCGTTCGACTTAACATGACAAGGAGAAATTCCGAAGCATGATAAAGGCATTTTCATCAGGCACCATTGTTGCACTTCGCGCGTCTCGATTTAAAAAAAAGGACATTAATTGAACCGAGAGTCGAGCGCAAAAACGTAGCTTTAATCCGACGCCGTACGCGTTTTCCTCTCCTCGGGGGACCCACTGAAGACACGTAATAATTAGATACTGAGATTAAAAGAATCCGTATACGGAGTGTGTAACAATTATCTCATCCTTTAGTTAGCGAACTAACATGCACTTGTCAAAATCCGACGAGAGAGAGGGAGAGATAGAGAAAGAGAGAGAAAGACAGAGAGAAAGGATAGAGAGATTTGAGAGAGAATAAGGGAGCTCGCTTTTCGTCGCCCTACTCTGTAAACGTGCGATGCATCAAAAAATACTCTGTCGGGTTCAAAAGTCGACGATGAAAAGCATACAACATCGTCCCTAAGAATTTCCTTCCGCCGCGCACGCGGATGCGCGCCGGAACAGGCTGTCGAGCCGCAATGCGAATCTCTTTGAATGCCATCACCTCTGCTTCTGCAACGTGAGCGCGTGACAGAACGATTCCCCTCAAATCCGTTGCCGATTGCCGCGCTCCGCTCTCGCGCGAGCTCTCTCTCTTCTTTATTTTGTGTCATATATAAAAAATGTACTCTTTCCCGTTTCGCCACCGCTAAAGTATGTACAAACGAATGGTAAATCCCTCGCCCCTCGTGTTCGCGCGACCGCTAACATTTTTATAGTGTGTCTCTTCTCTTCCTTCTTGTACGTTTAATTTTACTGCCTTACTCGTCGAAGTAGGGTGAAAAATGTGTCCGTCGCTAACCAGGCAGTGAAAAATCGATATTCAACAAATAATTTGGCATAATCTATATTTGTCTTAAATGTAATTCCATATATATATTTTTTTTAGTGAACCATATACAGGATGTCTGATAAGTAACTGATCAATCGAAGTATGTAGGTAGATTAGGGCAAACTGAAAAGAAAAGTCAGATATGCAAAATTCGCAATAGTTATTAAGTTTTTAATTAATACGTCTAAGCGAATGAGTGAACGGAAACAGGCTTCCGACTGTAGGCCGGGCTCGGTGGGCGTAGTGTCGCTCGTCGCTCGCGCGCCGCGGGCGCCGCTCATTTGCTTAGACATAATAATTAATAACTCAATGACTATTTTGCATCATGGTATCTGACTTTTCTCTTCAGTTTGCCTTAATCCACCTACATATTTCGGTTCATTAGCAATTTATCAGACACCCTGTATAAATTGTTGCATCTGCGAAGAAAAAATTTGCACGTTTTATTCCGAATATAAACTTGGAGTGTAAATTAATTTTGTATTTTTATTAAATTGAGATTATAGCAGTCTCGCATCTTACAATTGATCGCTCTAAAATTAATTTACATAAATAGCAGCGGCATGCTTCTTAGGACTTGAGGTAGACAGAGAAAGCTCGAGGAGCCTGATATGAATTCGTTAGGATTTGTCTCGCGCGTTGATCCGAAAAGCAGAAATGCACAAACCAATCGCGTGGACGAGATGCTGCAACGCAAGATAGCAAAGACTTCTTCGAGGACGTACATTTTTCATCCTGCTTCGTTGTTATACTTTCGCGTTTGATGCACTTTCAAGAGTTTATATCAAGCTGAATAAAAATATCCATCGATATACGAACATTATATCGTGAGGTTTTGAAAATATATATGCGTCTCGTAATCGAGAGACAAGGCTTTCTTGCAATGTAAACCTACATAACACTTGCTTTTTTTCACAGGACGTTAGTAGTATCGACGTATTGTTGACGACGATAACGAAAACAAAAATGAAGCTAAAAAGTTATATATTTCTTTCATCGCGATCAGGGCGAAATTCGACGCATTTTTCAACACCGGATAACTCATTCTCGATTTCAAGACTCACTCTCAACAGCGACTCTCGACAGACAAATGTCTGCGGTAAACACGATTGAGAATTGCTTCCAAGTGATCACTTGAGAAAGTATCGCGTATATCGAGAGTTGATCTTAAGAATGAAAACTTTTCGAGCGAGTGCACAGTGCATGTTCGGTGCATACCGAGAAATTTTACTCCGCAGGATATTAACAGTCTTCGTACGATTCTTGCAGAAAGAACCTTTCCCTTGCAGTTCGAATAATGTTAAAATAAATATTTTAACGCTATTCGCCGATAAACGAAGAATCCTCTGATTAATCTCTGAGAGCGACTTCGCTAGAAAAGTTCCTCACTTGCTCGCGTTTATTCTCTACTCGCAAATAAAAGATCGCGATTTATTACTACAGATCGCGGACGATACACTGATACATATTGATATATGTAAATTAGAAGAAGTATAACACAGATAAAAAATAACGTGCTATTACGCTCACTGCTTCTGATGGTTATTGGCGACCATTCGATCGCGACTAATTAGTACGCTTACGCCTCTCTATGTGATTAATAATTTTATAGTACCATCGGAAAGAAACCACGTAAGATAACACTGTATGTATACAATAATCATATTAAATATTTATGTACTTATTATTTATTGCCGTTTGAGAAACTGTTATCGATTATTCATGCAAGTTGAATGTCATTAAACTTATTTATCACTGCTGACAACCTAATCTTGAACATTATACGTACGATATATTATATATATGAATAATATCAACTGTATTAATTCTTGTACAAAGTGCCTCAGACCACAAAAATATTCAAGATACAGATTGATGAAAAAACGTGATAATTTGCAACACAGATATTTTATCAGTTAAATTTCAGAAACATAAATAACAGAGTCTCGTAATTGATTGTAACTCAATTTTAGCTCAATGTCTCGGAAATTTCGATTGGGATTCAATTGCAGTGAAAATTCCAATGAAAAGTGGTTGAAGATTTTTGCGAAATAAATCTTTAGCTTCGCCGGAAAAGAAATATTTCTCGGCAAATCTTTCCCATCTTGCATATTTTATTTTATGAAAGAAAACAACGTTCCTTTCTTTGCTTCGCGACAGATTTTTGCGACGACACGAGAGATCTTCCGTTCGAATCTATCGGGCGAATGGTCGTCCAACAGACAACAGCGATCGTATCTAACAGTTGAAAAAGCATTGCCTCGCTGGTCGCAAAATTAATTCGGTAAGCAACTTCGTCAGTCGCGGTTCCTCTCCCGCCCCGTTTTCCCTTTTCTATTCAGGGACTTTCCGCGCTTCCGTTATCGCGGTCCCACGTCTTACACCCAAGTAACGTTGCAATCGACCCGAGAATCTTTTTCAGCGACAAATGCATGTCCGTGCTCTTATCCTTCGACAATTAAATCCGCAAAAACAATTGGCGGTACACAGACTAGGTAGGAAAACTCTGCATTCTGTGCTCTGACAACTCAGCTAATATATATAATGACGTTAGTCTGGCGCATGCAGACCACGACAGAATGTATGAATACCTCATAATTACACGTTGCATATGCATGTACGTTTATATACATACACCTTTGTAATATGATTAGATATCTACGCGTTTACTCTGGTCTATATCGTACGTGTTTTCGCACAATCAGCCTTTCCGAATATATAATATTTCGACTATGTTTCTGCTATTACCTGAGATGAAAAATAAATAGTAACCGATTAATTCAAACGAGCCCGCAACGAGTTCGCATAATTCTCAACGCGCGCATTGTTACGTCTAATATGTATTATTATCTCAAATCCGAAAGCTATGACTAAATCAACGTAAATATATTAGCAATTAGTTGTTCGATTAATCGATAAGTTTTAATTTTGTTAGCTCCGCGCGTCGAATGTCACAGCGAACGGCCGGAAGTCTCTCGCAAAGAGGAAATCCGCAATAAAACCGAAACAATCTGCTAGGTGGTAAAAGCCAACTGATCCGATCGATTGCATCGTTTAAACGTACCATTCGTTTATATGGACAAAACTCTAGATCATCGTACTGCCTATAGGGTACTGTCTACGCCTTTAGAAGTCTCCCCGTTCGCATCCCCTTATTTAGACGAAGGAACGTACTAGTCGAATGTAAGGTTTACTGGCAGAGTGCTAGAAACAATAACTAGAACCAATTGCTGGCTGAGCCGAGCTTTGTAGAAAGACCGCCGATGCCCTTGCCGAACATGCTACCGACTTTGCCAACAACGTTCGAGGTGACGTTGCTCAGATTGGCCACGTAATTCTCTTCCGTCTCAACGATCGTCACTTTTGTCTTAGGTCTCTCCACTTCGTCATCATTGCCGTTCTCCGAAAGCCCTCTGCAAAAGAAGGCCCGAGTCACTTTCCTGCTACGAAATATTTTTCCGCTCCGCATAGCAGAACATTTTCATACTTAAAACATTCAAAGATTAGTTTCTTCAAATTGCCGATATAATAATAAAATTACAAATTTTCTTCGACCACAGCTGGCCACATTTGTTAATTAATCGGTTAATGCAGAAAATTTGTTGCGCACTTTAATCATGTGGAAGAATTTTGCAATTTTATAAAGCCAATTTCAAATTTAGTTAGAACTACGAATGGAAATCTTCAAATACCAATATCTTTTTATCGGACGTCTGAACTGAATATTTTAAGTATGAAAATGTTCTGACCCCCTTAACGTTAGAGATTAAAAGATCTTACTCTTCGTTCTGAGCGCTCATGGTTAAGGCACAAGTTGCTTCTTCCGTCTTCATCCTCTTGTCTATAGTCTGATATGTCTTCGTGTTGAGTTTCTCCTCCATGACACCCTGGAGCTCAAAGTCCGAGTAGATCTTCTTCACGATATGAGCTAGGCAGGTACATTGATACAAATGCAGGCTATGATCGAGCCTCTCGGACAACCAATTGCATAACATTTGTATCTGCGCCGTGTACCATTGCTGCAAACATAAGTCAAAAGTAACTCGACGAAATCTCCCCCGATATCGCGAACTGCTAGAGCCGCTCCAACTTCTCGTTGGGTACACAATTACAATTAGATTTTTTTTCGCGTACTATTTGAACCAACTTTTACCTCGAAGAAAGTTAAAATCCACAATTCGTCGAGGACTTTGCTGCGAATCTGATCCATGCAATTTCTCATGAAATTTACGTAAGCCTGTCCCATTTCCTTGCCGCTCCCTGATACTTTCTAAAGAAACAAATTATAAGACGTCGGTTACGAACATTCCAATAATTCTCGATGCGTGTATATTGTCGCTCCCGTGGCATCTCGATTCTTCGCTAAATTATCAATTGAACGAAAGGAATACCGTGAGACTGAGAATGGAGCCAATGAAAGAACCCTCGTCGTAACGAGACAGCTTAGACAGTGTCGCTTCCAATACCGTTATTAACTTATTAATCATCCCTTGATTCATTCCCGCTGATGTCTTTTCAATCATGTCATCGATCTTGGAGTGATATTGATGCTGGAAATATGAATATTAATAATAGCAACTCAAATTGTATCTAATTAATTTCACAACGATGTCATTGTTATTTAACGTGGAAAAGTTGTTTTATCTTAAAATAAAATAACTATTTTAAAATTATTTTAAAAGTGAAATAAATATTGAAACAATATATTAAAAAAATATATTTAGTGTTAATTTATTAATTAAACAAGAATACGAGGTAAAGTGTCAATTAAATTTAACTTAAATCATTACACGGAGAGAATTTTCTCTTAAAATTTTGCTTGAAAATCATGTGATCGTGGGACAACACGGCATTTCGAAGAATTTTATGAAAGTTTTTTGAAAGTCGTACATTTTACTTGTTAGTACACATTCCCATACGGCAAAAAATGTTACAAAGATATCCGAGAGATATCTAAATATTACAATAATCTGATGAATCTGATACAGAAAACTATTCAGGTATCGCTTGGATATCTGAGAGATGTCTTTCAGATTCTAAACATCATGATTATTTCATCTGAGATATATCTGATTTTATATCAAATACTACATTTTAGTAAAATCGGACTTTACATACTGCAGAATCTACGAAATATTTCAAATATGGCCGGTGAAATGATATCTGATTTAAGTTTTACAATATTTTGCTGTGTGGATTTTATTAGTAAAATCTATGATAAATTTTCAAAAATAACTCTTATAAAGTTCTTCAAGATGACAATTGTTCCACGATTACATGATTTTCAGGGTGAAATTTAAGAGAAATTCTCTCCATGTATGGTTGTCATGGATCTCACTACATTATATTATATCTACGTTGAAATGATTTGGCGAGTGAAAACGCGGAATGTTACATCGCGTTTCTCGACGGTTCTCCCGGGGATCAGCTACCGAATGAACTTACCACATCGACTCCATCGACAGTACAAAGCTTAAAACTCTGATTCTTGGCGTCCAAAATAACGTTCACCATAGCGCACATTTCCGACGGTATGATATAATCTGTGGAAATGAAGGTCATGCCTTTCTTAAGCCACTGCTGGAAGGCCGCGTCGGTCCTCTGAATGCACGACTCCACCATGTCACACGCCATCAATTTTAGTCTCTGCTCAAGGTGTTGCCTGAACTCCTGATCAGGCCAGTGCAAACCGCCGATGAACGATTGCAGCGCGTCCAACTTCCAGAAGAGATCCTCCGATGTGGCGCAACCGTTCCCCTTGATCTCCCATCGCTCCTTCTCGAAGCCCTTGTGAATCGACTGAGCGATTGACGTTTCCATAAGATCAACGTAACGCACCACCAACGGCGCGAATGTGTCGCGTAGATGCTGATGGAATCTTCCGTTCTTCAAATTGTCTACGTGCAAATTAAACTTTGCGACCATCTATAGAAGCCTTAAGTCTAATTTCAAAGCGCATCGCTGATAAGATTAAGATTAGAAAAGATAATCAAGTGGAAACCTGTCGGTCGTAATCCTGGATGAGAATAAACTCACCGTCGGTCCTGAGATAATCATTCATTATCTGGAACAGTGGGAAACTGTCCCACGTGTCCGGCGGTTGCTCCGCGAGTACTTTATCCATGTCGACGGCGAAGAGTGACCAGAAGATCTCGGCGTGCTCCACCATAAGATCGCTAAACCAGGCGAACGCCTGCGGTACAGTGTAGTAGGAGCGGATCGTGAAAATATTGGACATCGCACATATACGGTGGGCATATTTCCTTCAGCTCGGGGTGATGGGGACGCCACCCTGAGCACGGGGCCCTCGAGCACCCAGAAGACACTACTTCTACTTCATAATGTGCGTGAGAACGGTCGTAAAATTTGTAAATGCTAAGCGACAAGCGTTTGCTGCATCTAAGACCTCAACGTGATCATTGAGTCGAGCTAAACGTCGTGGGAGATATCACGATCGAATGCCGATAAGACGTTCCTCGGCTGCGAGAGATGTCCGAGGTGATACGTGGCAAGTGAAAGTGAAACTAAATTTAAACTAAACGCAGCGATGTGTGGAGTGCGGAGTGCTAGGATAGATGTAGCAATGAATTATTTTATTCCTTTGCTAAATAAAAGTATTATTAATAGAATATTGATCGGTGAAACTACTGACAAATGGCCGCGCTTTCATTTACAATTATATAATAATTAAGAAGTGACCTTTGGGCCCTCGAAAGACTGTACTTTACACACACACACGCGCGCGCGCGCGCACACACACGCACACGCACATTTAATCATTGCATCCTGTATTTATTGTCCTGTTTGACGTGTTTCATGGTGTATATACACGATGTAGAGGCAAACGTAAAACAACGTAAAAAAAAGTAGAGTGTTGCTCTTTGTCTCTCCGCAAGAAAGTGAACGTCTCTCAGTTGCAATAGGATATCTCACGACGTCCGCGAGTTGAAAGATTATTCTATATGAAAGCGACTTTCGCGGTGATAAGAGAAGCTCTCTATGCGACTGTCTACGCGGGCCAATTGTCTACGACGACGAGGAATGAGCGCGTTTGTCTTCTGAGGAGGTGGCGGACCCTTACCAAGTCCGTGTTTCAAGGCATGCTGACCCTCTCTCTCGAGAGCCCCGAGAATCGACACTCAGTTCTAAAAACCCAACTAATACCTCCGAATAATGTTCCTCATTTTGCTGGAGCAGGTCGACGCACAATTCGGCGAGATGTATAAGATCCTCCAGCTTCTTGCTGGATGGCACGCACACCTCACCGCTCAGATCGTCTTCGATCTTTGCTTCGGCGGACAATTTGGTGTAGTTTACAAGTGCCGCGGTTTCCAAGCAGTTCTTTATCAGGGCTTTCACTTCTTCCTGCGGCACGGGCGTCACGCTGTCCTTCATGAGCACGCGTTCCAAGAGGGATAAAGTTGCTTTTAACGCGCCCTCCGGACGCCCGAATGGGAAACCGTACCTGTTGCCAGAAGAGACACAGTTGGTGACAGTTTAATCGGTCGCGGCAATCTTTGGGAAATTATTTTTGGAAAAATATCGATCAGTCTCTTCTATTTTTGAGAGACTTTTTCATTGCAACAGCTATTAATAGCATGCATAAAAATTAATTTCTTCCCAAGTAAAAACGTACATATTGTTACAAACATTATTTTCAAATAAAAGAAAAGATACTTTTAAAAAAGAAAAATATCGAGAAAAATAATTTAAAATACGTAAGAAGGTAATTTGTAGAACTAAATATTAAAGGCGTAAATAATTGTTTGTAACAAATTTTTTTTTAAACCACAGTTCCAAAGAGATGAGAATTGCTTACCTAAAGTTGGTGATTTGGCTTTCGAGAATTTGCCTGAGTCGTTCTTTAATCTCCTGAAACTTATCTTTCTCCTCGTGGGTAATCGAACCCACGCCATCGGCGGATGTTGTATTACCATAAACATGAGTGGCACAGAAGGCGAAACTAAAGTGTATCAATGTTGGATCTATCATAATTCCACGATCGATTCTGTCCAACAGATCATGAAGATAGCAAAGATGCCGAAAGCACCCGCGCACGCCGTATCTATTGTACAGAAAACAATATTACGGACAAAAATAAGAGAGAAAAATAATTCGTACTTTCCAATTTTATCATATTTCGTGTCTTGCAAAACACCCGTTTATGAGGTGTGAAAATATACTTGATTGAAACAAATAATGAAGTATTACAAGTATAATTTTTCATTCAATAATATAAATGTAATATATAACATATATATTTGACACGACAGATACGCTGTTGAGTAGGAAATTATAATATTGATGTTACGTAACCGTTAGCTGGTGTTTACTGGCTTTGCAGCGAGAAGGAAATTTGAAGGGCTGATAAAAAAATTTTTGATTACCTGGCACAGTATTCATCCAGCACAAAAACTTGACCAGGCGAGAACCAGCCGAGCGAACAGTAAGGATCGTTCAGTCTGTAGTCCAGGATCAAGTTCTGCAGGTACTTGAACAAACCGTGATGGTCGAACTTGCACGGATCTGCGCTGATATAATCCTCCATCCCGTGCTTCTTGGCACGGTCGGCGTCACCCTGAATCTTACTGATGGTTGAATTCTTGTCAGCGACAGAGACCGGCGGAGTGGGCTTGTGCGACTGGCCAGTCGCCCGATACATTGCCATCACCCACAAGTGACACTCGTTCTCGTCGTCCGAGGCGTACACTATATTGTCGCCTTCGCGCACAGCGTTGAAGAAATATCTGTCGAATACATGCAATTGGTGATTGCAAATTGTGCAATTAGGACACACGATCTTCGCCTGTCAGCTGTGAAATATCTCGCTCGATCACGTTGGGAAAATGACGTGTAAAAATAAAATGTTGAACGAATCGGACTAATTGCCTTCCAAAGTATTGGATACTAATAAAATTTATATTGTAAAATCAACTGAGGTAGAAATCTATTTTCTGAAGCTTTGGAATTATTATGTAAAGCATCTAACAGCGTAGTTTTGCAATAATAAAACGAATAGAGTTAAACGTCTACTGCTAAGAACAAAAAGTGTCTTAATAAAACTTTGATAATTAACGTCTGACAGCGAACGCGATTGCAATAGGCAATCTTACGAATCTGTGCGACTACGAGCATGCTACTGCAGCGGGGATTAGGTATTTCTCCTTCTTTCTCTCTGCACGAGGGAGGAAAATTTACCTTCCTCCCTCCAAATCCATGCCGACCATGAGATTAGCAGAAACGGCCTCGATATAGTCCACTGTATAGCCATCGAGCTGCATCATTTCCGACGGCTCGCTTTTCTTTTCTTTGTACGAGCACATCGCAAATGTGTACTGCGAGACCTGGACCAACACAAAGTACCGCTTCTTCCACTTTTTCCATACGGATTTGCCCATCGCGTAGAGATAGCCGCAGTGCTTCATGTTGAGCGGCTTGTCCATGCGGCAGGCGATCTTCATGCGTAGATCCTGATCGGCGCAATTCTTGGCCACGTTCATGCGATGCCACTCGGGCACTTTGCACGAGAGCGGGGTGGGCCGCAGGATCACCTTGCCCAGCTCCTTGTCGTCGAGCGCGAGCATCGCCGGATTCTCGGTGTACAGTCTGACCTTGACCACCGGCAGCGGGTGCATTGTCGTGAAGTCACCCTGAGTGTCCCACCTATAAATAGGACCCGTGGACGAGAATGATGCGGTCGGCTCTGACCTCCCGTTGGTATATCGCGATCGGGTTGGTACATCCCCGATCGTCGATTCTCTTTCTTTACTCACATAGGCTTGGAGGCCTCGGCCTGATCGGTCTGCAGCTTCTCGCCGCCCTCCACCTCCATGGTGCAATAAACTATTCTATCGGGTGCTAGGCTTTTGAGGCCCTTGACCTCCATTACGACTACTTCCAGCTGGAAGGTCAGGCCGACGTCCATTTTCGTCAGCTGGGGATCGGAATCGGCGGAGTCGCCCTCCAGTTTAGCGAGGGAGCCCTGACAGCGGGAGCGGGAGCGCTCACCACGATGGTTGTAGCGCTTCAGCTTCTGCAGCCCGTATTTGCTGTCTATCGAACCCTTGGAGACCGGTAACGACTCCAGATTAGTCATTAGCAGGTTGATAGACGACTTGAGCTCCTCGATGTAGAGCGACTCCATCTCTTTCAGAAGGAACCTGGGCATGAGCTTGCGGTTCTAGGGATAAAGAAGGAACGGTCGGCGTTCAGGAACGAGCAGAAGCGATCGGTGAGATATCAGCGATTGAACGAATAGAAATAACAACGTATCCATGTCCAAAACGAAACGGCGTTAAAGTAGAATAAAAGCCGAAATGAAAAGAGGAAGAAGCGACCGTCACGATACCTTCTCCATCTCGTTGACCTTTTGTATGCGACCGTCCAGCTCCCTCCTGATGGCGGCAGCCTGTTCGTCGGCTGAGTCCAACAGGAGGGCGTTGAACAGAAGCTGGTGCTCGAACTTCTTGATGCCGAGAATCTGCTGAAACATGTCGTACAGCTGCTCCTTCGACAGTATCAGCTCCGAGTTCAAAGACTGCTGTTGCATCCTGGAAGGCCGTTTGGTGTCCTCGTCACCAGTACCTTTCAAGATGCAATCGAATTTGGCCAACCAGGACGTAAGCACAGTCTCTTTGCTCAGCCCGTCGATTTCCGGGAGGCTCCGAACACGCTTCTCAATGTTCTTCTTGAATACCTCGCGGAAGTCGAGCTGGGAGCATGCACCGCTCTGTACCATCTGCACCACTCGGTCCGACTTGAGGAACACGTCGTAGTAATTCTGTATGGCATTATGGAATGCCTCGTCGGCCATGATCTGCGTCTCGCCCTTCAAAAAGCTCTGCAATTCATACGAGCGATATGTCTCATGTCATTTCCTTTCGCGCTGTAACATTCCTCTCGCCCAAGTGTAATATCGATCATTCTCGATTCTACGGATTATATTCTTCTCATTAACATCTAAAACAGTTTCCTGAACGGAACTACTCTTAAGTTCATATATATACGCATGTATTATGTTTCTATACGTAAAACAAATTGTATGATGAATTTCTAATTTCGCGTAATAAGGGAAAAGCACGAGAAATTAATGTAGATCTCACGCAGCGATACGAGACATAAAATACGATTGCGTTGGTATAGCGGGGACAGTCTATATTTACAGCGGCCAATAATTTAATGCGATCGTACAGCTTCGATATATCTAAGAGCGGCGAAGGTGAAGGTTACAGGTTAAACTATAAGACCCTGCATAAGGCTTCGAGAAACGGCTATTCATCACGAAGGGTTTCTCTTATTTCTTAAAATTATAAGTAAGTGTAACGAATATTTAAGCGATATTTCCTAGCGAAATCACGTAAGTGGACGATTGACGGTATTTAATAAAAACACACGGCAAATCTATCCAGCGGTTTACCTGAAAACGAGAACATATGGTCTCTAGTTGCTGCTTCGTTACTTTCATCTGCCTTCGCGTCATGTCCATCGGTTGCTTCGCATTGAACGGATAAGCGATGCATCTAGATATGAAGACGTAAAGCTGAATCCGAGTTTTCCTCTGCTCCTCCTCCCTCTCTTGCTTATCCTGAGGGAGACAAGAAAATTCGTATCGGCGTAGCGAGATCGCGTATTGTTAGAAAGATTGTCATCTCATTTCTCTTCGCAAAAGAAATTGGACAAAGCACGTTTTCCACAATCGTTGCAAACCGACCGCAAGTTAAGAGCTCGAATTATTTCGCACATTAGATCCTCGGCAAAGAGAAATTCTCCGACACACTTTATTGTGTCGCATTTTAGCATCGTCCTTATTTTGGAATAGGTTGAATTAATAATTAATATTTTACGTTGCCTCTCATCTTCATCCATTCTTACTAAATTGGTAGAAGTCATTTCAATGCATTCTGATTATTTTTTCAAAATGTCTCTCATTTCTTTATTAAACTTTGCTTTGTTAGTATCATTCTCCTTCGCTCAATTAGATGTCTAACTTTAGCTTCTCTTTCTTTAACCTTTTGTTCATTCTCTAAACCTTCTTTAATCATATTTTTTCACAAACTGTCAAAATTCGCATGCGAGGTCACGCGAATCTAAAACCAATCGGCATCGCGGAAAACAGGCCTCTGTTAAAAACTGTTCGATATTAACGACATTTACGCCGGTAACATCTCGTTTTTTTTTTTTTAGAAAGGGAGAGAAATATTCTTCATTATATTATTTGTTTTATATCACGCACGTTTTACACTTTCGTAATAAACATTTTGCGTGCGACAAGAAAAAAAACAACGTCAGTGTTTTCTCGACCATACCTGGCATTTTTAATAATACAGAAAATTTCTTGCGAAAAATATTACCTCGACTAGGGTTTGAACCTGGACCTCCCTACACTCTAAGCGGGCGTCTCCACGTGCCTCGGTGGTCGAATTGGTGAGACTCCCGCCTAGAGTGTAGGGAAGTCTAGGTTCAAACTCTGGCTGAGGTAATATTTTTCGCAATAAATTTTCTGTATTATTAAAAATGTCAGGTATGGTCAAGAACACACTGACGTTGTTAATCACCGCTGGCGACATTGAAGAATTCTTATTAGTTAAGAAAAAAAAACCTGCTCGACGAGAAAGAAAATTCAGTGCACCCGCGTACCTGCAGCTCCGCTTCCGTCTTCTCGCTGGCCACCGAGGGAGACGGACTGGTGGGCCGCTGAGCGTAATTCGCGGCGTCCTGGGCCGCGCTCATCGACGGCGACAGGGAGTTCCTGGCGCTGGAGAGATTGGGCACGTCCAGACCGGCCCCGGCGGTGTCCTGCGGCCCCGCGGCGACGCGACTTCCGGATCCGTGGGTGCTCGCGGTGCTCGGCGGGCCCACGTGGTTCGGGCCCCCCGGCGAGGCGGTGAGGCCGGACGCGAGCGAGCCGACGCTACCGGAGCCCGGGCCGCTTCCGATACTTCCGGGATGACGACGGGAACCGTGGGAACTGCCGCTCCCGGCGCGGCCGCCGCCACCGCCGCCACCGCCGCCATGGTGAGTGCTCTGGTCCTCCTCACTCTCCTCCTCGGATGAACTTGGGTCTATCATCGTCTAAGAAGGGGCGCTCTAAGGGGGTACGCACGCGGTTCTCGACCCCCCCCTCGCAAGAGGCCCAGCCGCTTCACGTGGTCACGGAGCCGTCGTGTTCCACCACTTCCGTAGCGTTAATCACGCGCTCTTCTATAAAACTGAAACGTTATTCATTTTTATTACCTCCCAGCGTGATTATCTTTAATTAAGAGAAAGAAAGAGGGAAAGGGAGAGAGAATTTCTTACGCCGCTTTTAAATATTTAACGCAACGGAGGGTAATCGATGATTAAAACGGTTTTGCCATCGCGAAGCATCGCAACGAGATGTAATTAATGAAACTAATAAGTGCTTTAGCAGCCAGTCACATTAAATTATATGGCTGAGGATTAATGCATTTTATAGTAGCAAGTAAAACTGTAATTCCCTTTCTCTGACGCAAAGCCGGATTATTTCGTTAAACGTACAGCGAGTTCAATTATCTTGATTAAGTTGAAAATTTCATATTAAGTGTAAGACAAGTTATAGTTACCGTTGTGCTAACCGTCGCGATTGTTACCGTCCATTGTGTCTAACGTAAGCGCGGAAGTTGCGTGTCAAATTTGCCTGCGGGCTCCTGCACGCAATTTCCACCCGATCCTTCGCGCAAAGGCGCGCGCTCGACGCGCCGGCTGCGGCTCGCATAATTACAGGCCGTTGTACGCAAAAGCGAAGAAAAGCGTTTATCCTAATTCCGTTTTGTGCTGTCACGCGCGAAACAGCAATTTGCAATCCGTCAGCGTCCGGGCTTGCCATCGCTTTGCGTCTCGTCGCGGAAACTCGCAAAAGGACTCGGCCGAACCTTTGTGAAGTTGGCACCTCATGTCTCAAAAAATCTTTTTTTTTCAGTTCTGAATGCACCCAGAAGAGTTCTAGAGTTCCTTATCAATTTTAAAAA